GATAGGAGCTTTATTTTGAACTGCTTTACCCCTAGTGCCTAGAACAGGTGCTCAGTAAGTGCTTGACAAATAAATAATGCCATCCAGGAAGGAGAGTGACAGCAAATCAAAGTCCTGTGTTAGAGCCCAAGGTGCACAGTAGTGGGGGCGGGCGCGGGGGGGGGGATTAAGGCTGGAGTGTGACATATTCAGCCAAGCCTGGAATTTGTGAGATACTCCCTAGAACTTAAACTTCATTCTATGAGCAGAGATGTTAGGCAGGAGGCTTAGTATTCTGTTTACATTCTAGAAAAATTACTCTGCCTTCTCTTTGTGGCAGATGATTTAAAGGGGTGAGTTTGAAAGCAGGGAAAAGGTGAGAGCTGGTGGGAGTTGAGGTAGTAGTGAGACTGGGCCAGATCCAGAAAGCTCTTAGGTACAGGAGATGGTAACCAACTGAATGTAGAGAGATATTTTGATTTGTGTGATTGGATCGATAAGGAATACAGGAAGAAAAAAGGAGGTTTTCGAGAAAGAAGGATAGTGTATTCGTTATCTAGTGCTGTGGAACAAACTAGCAGCCTAGAACAACAGACCTTTTTCTCACCATTCCTCCGAATCAAGTATGTAGTAGTAGTTGATGTGTCTCTGTCTCAAAGTACCTTACAAGGCTCCAAGCCACAGGCTGGCTAGGGCTACAGTCCTCTCAAGGTCTGACGGGGGGGGGGGGGGGGGGGGGGGAGAAAGGCCTTCGTTCAAGCTCACTCACAAGTCTTGTTGGCAGGCCTCATGCACCCCCTGGTGGTGGGTGGCTAGAGAAATCAGGTCCTTGATATGTGGACTTCTCCCTGGGCAGCTCGATAGAAGCCACCTGGTATCTGGAAGTGACACCCCATAATTTCTACCCTGTTCTCTCTCTTAGAAACGGGTCACTAAATGTAGCCCACACTCAGGTAGGTAGGGGTGGGTATTATGCAAACTCTTGAATACCAGATGGAACTCATCAGGACCATGGTAGAGACTATTGACTACTATTGATATTCTGAATTTGAGGAGTCCTGGACATCCCAGTCAGGAACACTACATAGTCCTAGAGCTCTGGAGCTCCAAAGATTTTGCTCTCTCTGTGAAATATACCTTGGAAACTTGGCATGAGCCTACAGTCAGTTACTCAGGATCCTTTCTCTCCAACTTGATTTAAAGCTTTTAGAGGTCAGTGATGAAGGACAGATATTTTTAAATCCCAAGGCATCCTTCAAATAGGAGGTGCTCACCACATAATTGCTGCTGAGTGACTCTGAGAGGCAGAGTACCACAAGATGGAAAAGCAACCTCTCCATCCACCAATTCTTGCTTTGCCACAACTGTTGGAGAGACTTGGAGAGGTCTTCCCCTGCCAAATCTGCAGGTTCCTAGTTTTCTGAAGTGGGGGGTTAGATTATATTGGTAGCTTTTCAGAAAATAAAAAATATTAAGAATCTGTCTTTGGAAATGCAACATATTAAAATTTTCTGGGTTTTGTTCTTGCTTTCTGGGTTTTTTTTTTTTTTCCAGCTATGGCAAGATCCAACTCCAAGCTCTTCTCAGTTCTGTAAATCTAAGATCCATTGATAATGGATATTTTATCAAACCTTTGAAAGGAAAATAATTCATATGTCCTTGAACTTATGAAAAATGCAATATTACTGACTGTCTTTAAACACATATTGTGTGTCAAGTTCTCTTCGGACTGTCTTTCATTGCATGGTCTCACTTGAGGGTTTGTGGGTCACAGAAAGCATTTGGTAAATATTTTATTGGTGGATGAATTAAATTCATACTTCATCCTACAGATGAAGACAGTGGAGTTGGAACCACTAAGAAACTTGCCTGTGGTCACATAGGCCAAAGGCAGAACTCGACTATAAATTCCTTTAGACTCTACAGTACACCAATGCCATTTCTTGTTGGTGGGCTTGGTAGGACATTGGAGAGGTAGGTAGCTTAAGTTACCTTCTACATGATGAACACTTTTCATATCCATTATTAATGACCTGTAAGGCAGCTATGTGGTGCAAATGTTTTGCTGAAGTAATCGAGGCTCAGAGAGGCTAAACATCTTCCCTGTAGTCTGTTAGTTACCCTGATTAGTCTTTGTCAGCTTGACACAAACTAAAGTCATCCAGGAAGAAGAAACCTCAATAGAGGACTTTCTTCCATCGGGTTGGCTTGTGGCCATGTCTGTGGGGCACTGTTGATTGTTGTAGGAGGGCCCATCCTACTGTGGACAGAACCATCCCTAGGCAGGTGTGCCTGGGAAGTTTAAGAAAGATAGCTGAACAGGACAGGGCAAGCAAGCCCATAAGCAATGTTCCTCCAGGGTCCCTGCTACAGTTTCTGTCTCCAGGTTCCTGCTGTGAGTTCCTACCTTGGCTTCCCTCAGTGAAGGATCTGTAAGGCAAATAGTCTCTTTTCTCCCCAAGTAGCTTTTGGTCATGGCATTTATCAGCAACAGAAAGCAGACTAGAGCAAGAATCATGTAGCTAGTGTGAAGGACTGAGCTGAGAGTAGAGTCCAGTCTTTCTGACTCCAAAGCATTCCCATGCAAGACTCAATACATTTTTTAAAATAAAAAAAAAGCATATTCAGTTCAGATTCTGGAGATAAGACAGTGGTGGGTGCCAACCAGTTTAGACAAATTGTCGCTGCACCTCCTCCAGCTCCCCAAATCCTTATGAGCTTTATGTTTGTGAACCCATTGAATTGAAACAGAAAAGAGTCCAGCAAGTCTGAGAAGGTGAAAATCCAAACCTCTAAGATGCAGCACAAAGCCAGAGTGGACAGTAAGGGGACTGGCATTGGTACCATGGCCGGCAATTGTCTGCAGCCTCATCCACATCATGTGGCTCAGGCCAGGGCCAAAGTTAGACTGGTGATGTCACCACAGTCTCTTAAAGGCTTCATCGCTCATACCCACTTGTCATATATTATTAGGCAGATCTATAATACATGTAGCATTTTCTACTGAATTTCCATTCCTTCCTTTTCATGACTGGAGAAAGAAAAATCGTGTGAGGATGACTTTTCTGAGCTTCTCCTGATTGCCCTTCACCGGAACGTAACTTCATCTTGAATCATCCCCAAAAATGGTCATTCAGACTTTGATTTCATTAATATAGATGAAGCTGCAGTTCGATAATTATCATTTAACTAATGCATATTCTATATGGATGAGTAAATGGGTTCCCCTCAGCTTTCCCTCTGGAGCCCACAGAGGAAGGGGAATCCACAGCCATATCTTTTTCCTTTTTGCCTTTTTATCCTCCATATTAGTTTTTGAGACTCTGGGGTTGTGTCCGTTATGTTAGAAACTTTCTAATGTTATCACTTCTCTAGTGATAATGAGAATCCTTCTGAGAATCTGAAGTCCTTGTAGTTGGAGTCTGAATCTTATTAGGAGGAGTGATCTCAAGGATGCAAAATTATCCAGGTGAAGAGCTGTATAAGGCAGAGAGAGAGAGAGAGAGCAGGATGTGCTTGGCAGCTAGCTTGGCAAGGGGCTTGTAAGGAATTAAAAGAGGCCAGACTGGCTGGAAGATTGAATTCAAAGCATAGGTGTGCATTAGCTGGTGCTGGAGTGAGCCTTAAGTGCAGGGCTAGCTTTGGGGCAAGAGGCGACCAGTGGAGCCACCACACAGGGTGCCATGTTCAGAGAGGCTTTCCAATTTTTTTTAATATTTTATTTTTATTTTATGTGTGAGTATATTGCCTGCATCAGGTAGGTTCATCTGTGTAGTGCAATGCCTACAGACATCAGAAGAGGGCGTCGGATCCCATGGAACTGGAGTTACAGACAGTTGCTAACTGCCATGTGGGTGCTGGGAATTGAACCCAAGTCCTCAGCAAGAGAAACCAGGTTAACCACTGAGCCATCTGTCCAGCCCCCTCCAACCTGGTTTTATGCTCCACAGTCACCATCAAGAAACTGTTAAATGCTTTTAGAACAAGGAGACATATATGCATCTTGTACTAGAGGAACAGGAGATCAGTCTTATTTGAGCATGAAAGCCTGCTCTGACTAGATTTGTAGTACTGGAGAAATCCACAGGCCTGAGGCTCAATTTCTGCTTCACTGGAGAATACAGACCCTCCCTTAAAGACACCTTCACTGGATCTAATGAGATTATGAATCTTTGGTACAGTGTATAGTCATTGATGCTGCGTGTGTGTGTGTGTGTGTGTGTGTGTCTGTGTGTGTGTGTGTGTGTACAGCATGCACAGGGATGCTAGGACCCGGAGAGGGGATGATAAAACCTCGTCTACCAAGTTGGTTGGCACCTTCCAATGTTATATCTTCCGGAAGATGATTGATAGATGATTGATAGATAGATAGATAGATAGATAGATAGATAGATAGATAGATAGATAGATAGACAGATAGATAGATAGATAGATGATAGATATCAAGAGATTATACCAGAATCACCTGGAAGAGGGTGATTGTTGTTCCCCAAATACGCTTGCCTGCATTCTGTTCTGAGTGATTATGATTCAGCAGGTATGGACAGGAGGAGACTCTGGTTTTGAGCCTTACATGATACTGATACACACCCCAGGACAAGAAATGCAGCCTTAAGTTTCCAGAGGTCTAGTGGAGAAGCAGCTTGACAGAGGAGGGCCAAAGAGAAGGCAGAGGGAGAAGCTGACAGACTACACGAATCCTTAACATAATAAAAAGCCTGTTAAAGAGGAAAGAGGTCATCATTTTATAGCACTTATGATGATGACACAGATAGTGCTGAAATGCACTATGGGAACGCATCCCATTACTGAGGTTTCTATAAAATTTTCTGCTATCCATTTGGTCAGACAAGTACACCCAGAGGAGCAAGAGCTATGGAGGAGGGAAATCAGGGTCAAGGCCAAGGTTGGACACTGAGTTTGAATTTATCTTCCCCTTAATGACCTTAATACTATACTCAATTCCTGAGAAGAAATTGTGGCCGGAGGGAATAATTCTGAATTATGTTTATTCTGCCCAGATTCTAGGCTTTGACATTCTTCTCATGAAAAACCTGAAGCCTATGCTACTTGAAGTGAATGCAAATCCCAGCATGAGAATCGAGCACGAGCATGAAGTGAGTCTTTGCAGCATCTGGTGGACTACTTTGCTGTGAAACCAAGGGTTCCCGCTTGTGAGGTGTCCTCTTGGCTGCCCAAGACTTTCCATCCTTAAATTTTCCCAGCGAAGTCCTCTTCGAGTCAAATAATTTTAGTTCTATCAAGCTCCGAACAGAGTCTATTAATATAAGACCTTTCCGACCCATGGTAATTTCCCAGCATGCCATTCTTCTCATTTTTAAGGTCTGGAAACGCAGAAGCAGCTGAGCCTTTCCATCAGTTTTGACGTGAACTAATTAGTTAGCCTCAGGAGATGAACTAATTGAAATTCTATGAATATGCGTTTGCCATGTCGACATGCTCGAATCACTAAGATAAATAGTACATTTAACAGTGCTTGTGTTTTTCTCTACCCTCTCCCCAAAATGCACTTTAAAGAACTGGGAGGAAGCACCCCTAAAATTACTACTGGGTTTTGAGGGGATTATCTGGATTCTTTTAATTTTCTTAAGCTCTATCTTCCCGGCTTTTCTAAAGTGAGCATGTATAATTTTGAAAATTCAAAAAACACAGTGCTAAGGCCAGGCGTGGTGACAGAAACCTGTAATCCCAGCATTCCAGAGGCAAAGCAAAAGGATCAGGAGTTCAAGGCTATTCTAAACTACCAAGTTTGAGGCCGTCTAGGCTACAAGACCCTGACTCAAACAGAACAAAACAAAACCATAATGACAACTAAAACATAGCACTATTATTTTTCTTCATATACTTTGTCACTTTATAAAGAAGACATATTTTTAAGCTAGTGTAAAAGGAAAGTTTATAGATTCCTTTAGATTTGCTAAGGCCAAGTGTACTATTGCACAAGGATTTGAGCTAATTAGAAGTACACAGTGCTCACTGATAACACCGGACCTGGAGCACAGCCTTACTCTAACGTGGACTCCTTCCCTTTCCAGCTTTCTCCAGGGGTGTTTGAAAATGTACCCAGCCTGGTCGATGAAGAAGTGAAAGTGGCTGTGATCAGAGACACTCTGCGCCTCATGGACCCACTTAAGAAAAAAAGAGATACCCAGTAAGTATGTTTTATGTCAATCACTTCTATCAACTCGGCTTCCTTTCTTTACATCCTAAAGAGGCAAAGTAACTTGTTGGAATCTCTTAACACGAAAGAGTTACATATTAAACAATTGAACAAATCACACTTTTATTTTAGAAATAGTCCCCCAAACCAGCAACTCAAAATCAGGTGTAAGGTTGACAATATGGCTCAGTGGTAAAGCACTTGCCTAGCATATGTGAGGGCCCAAGTTTAACTCCCAGCACTGCAATAAATAAATAAATACATATATAAGTGAGATCAGGAGTGCTGTGACAGTGGGATTCAATGATGAACTTCGGATTGCTGTCCAAAGCTGGACATGTCTCCTGAGCTCCCACCTGCCCAGCACTGCTTGAAATCCTCAAGCACAGGAAGAGTGGAATAAGGTACAGGAGGGGCCACAGGAAGTAGGACTGGAGATGGCTTCCTCCTTCCTGGTTCCTTCACAATATTCGTGTTCTTGGTGGTATCATCTTTGAGTTTCACATTTGCAGAGCCAGTGTCATGAGCTTGTGTCATTTCTCTCACATTTACAAGTTATGGCTCTTCTTCCTCCCCAGCTCCCCTCCCCATGGGGGATACTGAAGAGGGGTGTATCCCTGCCTCACCCTCCACAGAATCACCCCAGATATTAAACAGCAGTCCACTTGGGTGGCTTGTTCCTTCTGGTTTTGTTTTATTTTTTTGCAATGTATATGAATGTTTTGCCTGACTGTATGTAAGTGCACTGCTGTCGTGCAATGCTTGGGAAGGCCAGAAGATGGCACAAGATTCCCTGGAGCTGGAGTTAAGGACAGTTAGCTGCCACGTAGGTGCTGGGAACTGAACCTGGGTCCTCTGCAAGAGCAGCCAGTGCTCTTAATCATTGAGCCATCTCTCCAGCCCATTTTTTAAAATCACATTCCAGGTTCCCACAAAGTAAATGTTGACTAAATATCATTATGCCTAGGTTTTAGACAGGAAACCCCCAGAGTAAGCATTTCAAGTAGCCTTTCTCATCCTCACCAGCCTGACCCAAATGTTCCCAGACACTTCAACACTTGTCAGCTGTGGCTGGGAACAGGGAATGCTGGCATCCCAGGCCAATGATTCTTGGCAGGTTCCTCTACTGAGACTCCCTAAGAACGGGGCTCAAACCCAAGTCTTGTTCTAGTCACCCTAAGGTAGTGCTTCTCACCCTTGGCTGCATATGAGAACCATCCAGGGAAGTTTTCAAAAATACCAGCACCAGGGGCTCCGCACTAGGCAATGCTGGTTTTTGTGAACCTGGGTTGGAGGCCTGGCTGTAGACACGTGCAGGTTCCCTAGGTGCTGCTTCTTCGCAGCCAAGGTTGAACAACTCTGCCCTGTAGGAAGCATTACCCTGAAAGATTGGTCATATCTTCGGGCAGGTTGGATGGTACCTGCTCCCCTGAGCTCTTCCAAGAGCATTTTTACCAAATGAGGCTGCTGCTGTTGGCTGCATTCCAAGAACATTCACCTGTGGTTGCATAGGCCCATTCTGCAAGTGTGGCTTCCACTGACTCATGCTTTAGAGAGCATGTAAAGTAGATGAAAGGAGCTGAGGTGCTGAATCCTGTGAAACCATATCACTCCAATTGCATTAAATGGTGGCACAAAAACTTCCAAGCTGGAACTTACCTTTAGAAGACCAGTTTTCAGAGTTTCTTTCTATTTTCTTGTTTGTTTGTTTGAGATGGTTCTCACTGCAAAGCCTGGGGCTGCCAAATTCTCTGAGCAACTCAGGCCTCACAACAGGAGAAGGATGTACCACTAAGTGAATGCAGGTAGCTGCCTTCTCTACTTACCCCTTAGAGAAAGCACTGGTTGGAGCTACAGTGTGGTTAAATTAATTGCAGTAAAGCACACTCCTTAAAAATCTATTCTGTGATGGTTATTGATCTCAGCAGCCAAGAAGAGGTCCTGAGAGACTGTGTGCGCTGCGGACAGACTTGGGTGGCTTTCTGTGGGACAGTGCTGTGGATTATTTTAGGATGACCTTGACACATTGGCTGGGCACAGGAAATCCAAAATCCATTGTGTGGCCTGAGCATTCTTAACCTTAGCCACCAAACTTGGCCACCAAACACGGAGAGCTCAGAGAGTTCCACAGTTTCACACTGAACAGCACAGAGACACATTAGCCTCCCTGTTCTCCTGCTGACTTTCCTTTGCCTGTACAATCTATATGAGCCGCAGATCTGAAATTTAATTGCAGTGGGGCACGGGACCATTGATTGGGAAGGATGAGAGAGGCATTTTATAACTTATCAAGTCATAAGTAGCAGCATCTCATTTTTAATTTAAAAAGCATTGACTTTTTAATAGATATCCAGGAACAGTTAGAACTTCAAGAACCTGACTTCAGTTCTAATCTAGAAACCCTTTCATCTCACTTTTTCCTCACCTACAACATAAGAGTGTGTGTGAATAGCTAAGTGCCATTTGCTGACATTTTTCCTTAATCTCACTTTTTTATGTTTTTGCCCAGCAATGATTATCCATGAGAACACTTTGTGATTGTAAGGTGTGTTTATACATCAGCGATATTATTTTGATAACTTTACCAGGTCAAGGCTGAACTTATCCTCAGCTCCTTTGTCTAGAAGTGTTTCAGTATCACTAGAAAAAGCTTCGAATTTGTGTCTATAGAAAATGCAAAGAACTGTGGTGCTGAATCCTATAAATCCAGTTCTGACACCATGTCACTCCAACTGCATTAAATGATGACACAATAGATTTCCTGGTGAAGCTTACCTTGAAGCAGAGTTTTCAGGTTTGATTTCTGCTGTTTTGTTTGTTTCAAATGGGTCTCACTACAAAGCCCAGGCTAACCTTGAACTCGTAATCCTCCTGCCTCTGCCTCTCCAGAGCTGGGATTACAGATCTGTGTTACCACACCCAGTTTTAGAAGAAGTTTATACAGGACCTGGCCTACACCTTTTAGAACAAAAGATATCCTAGCCTTTCCCCTCAGTTAGCAAAGGACTGTCTGAAGTGTCCCTCATTGGTGTTTATCATCAAGACAGTTGGGGCAGGTTTTCACCTGCCCCACACTAACAGAATTAAGAAGCAGATGTCCTAAGTCTCTCAACTCCCAGACTTCTCTGGAAAGGTATGGAGGAACCACCAGAGGGGTACCAACATATGTCCATGCATCCTGCACCTCCATACCCCCTGGGTCCCGGGCCGTTTCTTAGCAGGACTGAGAGCAGTCAGGAGGTAGTCTGTGGGCAGAAGAGCTTGACTTTGCTGGCCCCCAACCTGGCGTAACAAATAGCACTGTTTTAGCTGGGCATGATGGCTTATTCCTATAAACCCAATAAGCAGGAGGTTGCTAAAGACTTAAGGACAGTCTTTGCTACATAGTGAGTTCCAGGTCAGTCTGGGCTGCAGAATGAGACCCTGTCTCAATCAAGCAACCAAAGCACTTTCTTTTGAGCTAAGAGACCACATTCAAATCCTGACTCTGTGGTAAACTGGCAGTAAGCCCTGAGGAACTGTACATCTGTTGTTGTAAGTAGCCTTTTCTGTACAATAGATAATGACATTTCAATGAAACAGTGATAAACACATTCAAACAAAACAACTTAGTGAGCACTTTTTCGTTTGGTTTGGTTTGGTTTTGGGTTTTGAGACACAGTCTCCCTATGTGGTTCAGGCTGACCTGGAACTTGCAGTCCTCTAACCTCAGCTTCCTGATGCTGGGGGTCATTCATGCATCACACACTGATGACAGCAGCACTTTGTCATGCTCATCTTGCTAATCAGCAGTGAAACTATCTACTAGACATGATATAAGCCAAAAGCTATTAGTTATTTTCCTTTCTTGTATACTTGATGCAGACTTTTGAGTTAAAAACCAATGATATGTCCTAATACTGAAGACGTAAGATGATCATTGACTGGTGCTGACGTTGGCACCCATTAGGGAGCTTATTTCTTAGATGTCACTAGGGCATATGTGTTTGCTGGGCTAGGAGAAATTGCCATTGGTTCCTGAAGGAGGAAAACAGCTGTCACCCGAGAACTCAGTTGACTGTAGAAACCATCTGTAATATCTAGTGACTATTGATTTTCACACTGGTGCTCTGTGGAAGCACCCGAGGGACATGGGAATGGGGAGACGGATGGAGCAAGAGTCTGAAAACTTTCTCTCTGGAGATGTAAAATTCACATATTGTAAAATTAACCATTTATGAGTCTACAACTTGGAGGACTGAAGTGTAGTTAGATGGTAGTTGTCTAGCATGCGTGAGGCCCCGGATTTGATCTTTCTCCCCCTGAAAAGTGTATAGTTCAGTGACATTTGACACATTCCTCATGTTGTGGGGCATTACTCCATCTAGCTCCAAAATATTTTGTTACTTCACAAAGAAACCCAACCCTGTAAGTAAGCATTTACTCCCTCCCCAGGTTGGCCTCTGGGAACCACCTGTTCTCCCCTAGGATTTCCTATTCTTGATATCTTCTATAAATAGAATGGTATCATATAATCTTTATGGTTGACTTCTTTCATTTCTATAATGTCCTTGAGGTTTAGCCTGGTTAGGGAGCGTGTCACAGTCTCTATGGATGAATACTAGTCTGTTATACAGATTAGATTCACTGCAGTTCAGTATCGGTTTGTCGGCTGATGGACATTTGGGGAGAATTCATCTCTTTTTCAACTAGAGGGCTGCTACAAAGATCAAGTTCTGATTTTGGCTTTCTATATTAAATTTCATTTGGGGAAGACCCTTCAAAAGGGGAAGGGTCTTTTCTGCAGCAAGACATGATTAGGATTCTGTAGCATAATCTAATTCCTGCTTTATTTATTGAAGCACAGATCTTAGAAGTCATCATTCCAGTCAGATCCCTGGTTCAAGAATTCCCTTTGCAGGCATCAGGGACAGAGGAGAGCAGCCACTGAGGCAGGGCAATGGGCTTGGCCTCAGTCAGGCCTGGGCTGAGTCCTTAGGCTCTGAGTGTTG